GGGGGGGGGGTAACGGTAATAACTCAGGAAATTACCCTTTTTAGTTCTGTCACATGTTTGAGAAGAAGGGGAAAAAAAAGAGGATAATTGAAAGGGAAGAAAAGAATCGAAGGGAATGAGAAGTCATTTTTACTTCTGTGAAGCGGAAAAGGAGTAGATAGAAGTGATACCATGAATAGATTAATCCATGTTGAACGAGATGGATTGTTAAAGCATGGCTGTAAAGAAGTTTCAGAAGTCATTCCAAAAATGCCTTTCTATTGCTCACAATATGGAGGAAGGGATCTTCTGCTTTAGCTCAGTCTGCAGAATTTCGAGCCTCTTAGAGAGACCAAAAGTTGTCTTAAAGACGAGCCGAAAGTCTTCGGGTTTCATAGCGAGGAAAACACGCACGTCAATTTCTTCCTTTTTCAGAACCTTGTTAAGACCTTGGAGACCTTTTTTTTCAAATATCGACTGCAGTAACACCACCCCTTGCGGTCCTTCCAGTTCTTTTTGATTTCTTATGTTAGCTTCACTTGTGGATGACTTAGATTTTTCAAGATCAACGGGTAAACCGTCTATCTTCTTGACGTTTTCTGGTTCTTTAATCTCTGTGTGAGGGAGGGTCAGGGCTGCTCGCGTGAGAGCTCGGCAGAGGCGGCCGAGATCTTCATTAATTGCCCATTGTTGAAAGCCGCTGTGGACTTCGTTCGAGGTTGATTCACTCACCTCTTTATTCGCGCAAACGATCTCCTTCAATATTTTACTCAAAAGCAACTCACTCCATTTGCTAATATCGCGCCCGGTATCCGTTGTCAGGCGCTTTGCCAAGCGATTTCGTATTTTTTCGAGTTCATATGCGGTATTATCAAGTGAGGTAATAATATCTTCTGCATCACCTGGCAGCTCGCCGTATCCGGCGGAAAGTACACGTTGGATATACGAAACCTTGTGTAGTGCTTTGGTAAAGCACTCCACCGCCTCTTGCACACGCCAAACTTCTAACAAAAGATGATCTTCATTGTTATGCTGAGCGGCCATGAGTGGTGGAAGGGGAAATATCATCTCCCCGTGAGATTCAGTTAAGATTTGCGCAAGCCATGGTAGCCATCCTACCGAGGAGGCTCCAACATGCATTGCTTCAAAAACAGTATCGTAGAAAAAGAAAAGCTGCTCATTGAAATGCGGAGGGTGATTCTGCCGACGGCGATTTTGCAGCCAACGCTCTTCACGAAGAGGATGCAAGGGAACGCTGCAAACTTGTAAACTACGTCGGCCGCCTTTTCCCTCACTTCTTTCTTCTCCTTTCACACCTAATGGAAGCAAAAGGCCATCTACTAACTCCACGCAACTTCCAACCTCATCCACCTCTGCAAACACCATTGCGGCTTCACAAACCTCCTCGGGAGAGTTCTCACGAATCGCCTTCCGTACGCCGTCAAAAAAAGTCGAATCCGTGAGAAATGCTTTCGCAAAAGCTCCACATGCGATTCGGAGCTTCGGAAAGCGGCGTTGAATCGCCTTTAACGCACACCCCGAGCTGGAGTGAATATCAGGCAGTGTGATATAATCTAACCCTCGCAAACTACTCTCGTGCATTTCCACAAAACGCCGTGCGTCTTCTTCATTACGCACCTTTGGCAACCCAATAAGCACCGTCGAAAGCGTTTTTTCATTTTCAAAATTTGTATCCTCCATCGTTGTGGTAGTTAAAGCGTAAACACCGAACGTTTGAAGTGAACGAGTATCGTCGGCATAGTCTAATAAACGTGTAAGATGGCGTTGGGGAGGAGTAGCCTTATTTTCAAGAGGTTGCGTATCGCAGGTGATATAAAGAGAGGGAGGAGCGCTGCGTAAATACACAGGATCCCGCTGCATGGCCTGCACAAGCGAAGGAATCAACAATTCTCGCGTTCGCAAACGCAAAAAACTGCGAAATAACATGTGAAAAAGTGAGGGCCCCTTTTGGCGTTTTTCTAAGAAAAGCAACTTATAATTAGGGAAGTGGATCAATCTAAATTCCTTGTGGTCTTTCTCGTGTTATATCCTTCTCGCAGAAACGAGATTCTTAGTGGAAGTCTAAGCATGACGAGTTATAAAAAGGAAAACATAAGTAAACATTTTGATCATGAACATTTAGTGTATTTACTCCCCTTACTATTATTAATTGACACAAGACGAATTACTTTAAATTGATGCGCTGTGAGAACTAAAAATATCGAATCACCGTTTTTTTATTACGTCTAGCTCCAAGGCATTCATTTTTTTATGCTGAAAAAGTGAATATCAGGGACACATTTTTATAAATAAATATGGAAAAAAGTTAGCAGCACGTGATATGCGTTCGATATTCCTCGGATCTAAGTATTCCATATCATTAGAAGCTATAAGTCTTCAATCAATTAACGTTACCAAAGCCAAAAAGGCATTTTTTTTCGAGCTTTGGAAAGTTTCCCAATTATAAAAAAGCATACCACTATTCAGCTCCCTCTCCCTTCCCCTAGAGCTCAAAACTTATTCTTCTTATTGAATTAGCCTGTTTGATAGGGAAAGTGGGATACAAGATATGTGGGGGAGAGGGGTTTACTTTTTCCAGGGTTCATTTTGTGATTTCGCGTAGAACCCGCCGAGGCCGGCAATGAAGGCGCCGACGATGGCGCCGAAGGTCGTCCCGTCCTGGCTGCCGCCGTCGATCACGCAGAGCGCCCCGGTCGCGGTCGCGGTCGCCAGGCTCGCCATCGCGATTGCCGACGTGAGCGGGACGACGAGGAGGTGAAAGAGCCCGAGAGTGGAGCAGGCGGTGAGGAGGGAGGCTCCACTCCCCACGAGGATTTTGTCCGCCACGTGACGGCGTCCTTGTAAGAGGGCCTGTGCGGGGCCTCCCCCCCCCACCCCTTTCTGTGTCACAAGGGACGAACAGGGGTGTAACACACGAGGATGACGCCACATTACTCACTGGGGTCTTTCTGTAGGTGGATGGGTTGAACGATCCTAAGAGTTAAAGGCCTCCCTAAGGGATAGCAGGGATGACACTTGTGACAATAGAAATAATGGGGTGCAACAGGTTAGGGAGGAATATGTGAAGGTTAGGATAGATGCCTAGGAGAATAGGTGAGTTAATATTATGATATAGGGTGTGCGTTGCCTCTACTCTGTTCTTTGTGTAGACGTGTAGGGGAATGATATAGATCAGGGAAGGTGATTTAGTACGAGATGATTGGTCTCTTTGTGCTAGTTTTAATTCGTAAAACAGAATTTCACATATATATCTATATATATACATAGATATAGATATGTATCCACATAAAATATGCAAAAAAGGAAAAGTAAGAGAGAGATAGAAAAAAAATAATGGAATGGGAACCATAGCAGAAAACAATATCTCCCTACGTTTCCTTTTTTCCATCGACAAACGGCCGCGTTGGTTGACAGCTTGAAACCAAAATTTTCCTTTATTTTCATTCGACTTATCATTTAAGTATTTTTTTGCCTTTCTCTTTGAGTATAACCCAAAAGGATTAGCGCGGTGAACGTTATCATAGTTCTTAGCATTAAGCGAAAGGAATAAGTACGAACGCAAGTAGAGAAAAGAACCGGATGATACTGCCAAGTAATCAAACCAATAAAAATATTGACACCTATCACTTCGCTTCAACAAAAAGATGAATTCCGAGATGCGTACAAAGGGAGGGCCAGGTTAAAATTTCAAAGAGCTTTTCTTCCTTTTTCATTATCTGTTTCTCTCTGTCTATATATTTATATATTAAATAAAGTGAATTCCATTCCGATTAAAATGCCCTAGAAGCGTCATGAGTGCTTCCTCGTCGAGCAGGCGCCCGCGCTGCTCAAAAAGTGGATCGGCAAGGATGCCGTCAAGAAGCGTTTTAAACAACTCCAGGCTTATATCCTCTGTTAATTGCCCTTGCATCTTCTGATAGCTAATATACTTTTCGTGGAGGGTTTGAATCGCTGATTTGGTGCGAAAGATAGACGCTACTTTTTTGTTCTTCCGGTTAAATACCATCTTCACCATACCATCCCACTCCTCGAAGTCGACATCTGGTTTGGGGTGTTTGGGATCGATTCGAATCACACTTGATTCTACCTTAGGAGGGGGATTAAAGCTATTTTTACTAATTTTCATCAAATGCGAGCAGCGCGCGAGGAGCTGTGTATTGACAGAAAGTCGACAGTAAGCTTCCGAACCGGGCTTGGCGCATACCCGAAGTGCGAACTCCCGCTGAAACATCAGCACTGCGCATTTAAAAGTTGGATTTTTTAACAATTTAAAGATCAATGGCGAAGAAATCGCATACGGCACGTTCGCTACGCACTTATCAAAATAGGGAAAATCCTGCTCGAGGCAATTCCCGCGAATGATCTGTAATTTTGATGCGAGCGGGGTGCCCTGAAAGCGTTTATGCAACTCTGCTACCATACGAGGATCGATTTCAAACGCAATTACGCGTTTTGCGCACTGCAAAAGTTTTTCCGTGAGGTTTCCCGTACCTGGTCCGATCTCTACCACGATATCCGTCGGTTTAATCGCTGCCTTCTCCGCGATCGCCGCGATGACGAGCGGGTTTTTTAAAATATGCTGTCCAAAGCCCTTGTTAAAGACCATTCCAGACTGCCCACCGCCGGTTTTGGAGCCTACCGCACCTTTTTTTATTTTTTTATTTTCCTCCTTTTCCTTATATTTTTGTGGGATGCTTTTTCCTAGAACTGTTACCTTGGTGGCGAACTTCAGCTTGCGTGAGGCGGATTGAACCGGCTCGGCGGAGATCACGCCCATGGGAACGGCGCGAGGGGCTTTGGGCATCTTCTTTGTGAAACTCACAGTAGCTAAAAAAAAAAAGGGAAAATAACTAATTCCTTGCTCCCTCTCTAATAAATAAAACTAAAATGAAAATCAAATACATAATAGATGTGAATATTTATTATTTATTTGTATACATATGCATAGTTCTCATTTTTACATTTATGACTGAGATAATAAAGGGGATGCTATTTAAGGAAGTAAAACCTCCAAAGAGGTACGAAAACGATTAAAGGAACTCAGTCTTATTTTTTAAGACACATGCAACTTGATGTACAAGATAGAAAAAGAAGAAGGAACGTTCATTTTTTTTCCCTTTTCATACATTAAGGGAAATAATAACCAAAAACTGAGAAACAACTCAATAGATTTATATAAGAATCTTATTTCTACCATCAGCAGAACATCTACAAGTACGTGCAATGTAACCTGTAGTGAACTTTTTGAGAAAAAAGTTCACTCATTATTTCAAGAGACATGAACAATAAGATTATTCCTTAACAGATACAGCTAAATAGTCTAATATTTTTATAATGCAAAACCGCACAGTTTTGATTGCAATCTGCAAAATTTTTTTACAACAAGTGGATACATTTTATTTTATGAACAATTCATACAATAAAACATAGCAAAACGAACTTTAAATGTGGGTATAAAGTTTTAACATGACTAATTGTGTTCTAGATTTTAACATTCATCACTTCACCGGATTCTATACCTTTACCACAAAAAAGTATGTTGACAATTTATTATGTCAAGATTTGAACGCACGCATTTCCATATTTGAAAGATAGCAATTCTCTTCAAGGTAAAAATGACGTTCATTTTTTTGTGAGCCCAGTTTCTTTTCACTGTGTGTGAGATTTGAGTCAACACATTTAGAATCTTTTTAAACATTTCAACCTTTATTAGTAAAGGCAATGTGTAACTTTATGATGCTTATCACACAAACACCAATAAGACTAGCAAATGCAGTGAGTACTTTAGAACCTGGGGTAAAAGATTAAACACACGGTGTAGTTATGAAGATACCCTTGAGCGGAATACTATGACACTTTATTTTAGTTTATCTGAAAATAACAGCGTCAAAAAGGTGTTGATGATTAAGCATCCTTTGATATTGTTACTCTTTTATATAGTCCATTCAACTTCCACTTGTTGACTTTTTTAAAAATTCCTTTAAGTTCTTCTTCTTCCACTTTTTTCTATCATTTGCTCGTATTGCAGCAGAACATCATCAGCATTGCATTAGTCCATTCAATATTTCACCAAAAAACTTCAGCGCAGTGTGGTCTATCTCCCTCCCCTCCCCCCCCCCCCTCCTCCTTACACTCACATAAAATAAAACTAGCAATATCCTAGTTGTTGTTTTTTACAACCCCGATGCCATTTTTCCATTCATTTCATCCTCGTCAGTCTCCTTAAAACCAGAACATACCGGACTGTCGGATTCTCCCATCCCCCAAGGCTCCTTGAGTGCATTCCCCCGCCCGGTTTCGACGGACTCCGTTGTCGGATCCCCATTCGTCCCCTCCCCTTTCCCGTCGACGGAGGGGGAAGGGGAGGGGACCTGGCGCGTGGTCTCACAGGCCGCACACCGCATCCCCGACGGCGTGTTCCAATACCCGCAGACCCGACACGGCCAGACCTCCGCCGCGGTCAAGCGCAGCGGCGCCAGGGCCCGCCGTGGGCCTTTGGGGCCCTCCGCGTCCGCCTCTGTAACAGCCCCGTCTTCGGTTGGTGTGGCGGAGTCCGGGGACGGGCTGAGGAGGATGTAGTCCCCGGGCTCGACCTTGCGGAAGCGCACCGTCCGGCGCTGGACGTTGAGACAGCGCAGGAGGCTTTTCCCCGTGCGGGTCTCGAAGACGCAGAGGAGGCCGGCGAGGCCGCGCAGCGCGGGGTCATCGGCGAAGCCGCGGGAGTACTCAAGCAGGGTGAGCCGGGCTAGGCGTTGGAGGGCGCGGTGGGACTCGTCCTCGGCGCGGACCAGGGCGAGGCTGAGGAGCCGCTCCTGCAGCCCCCGGCCCCGCGCGAGGGCGAGGTGGAATGCGTAGTTGCAGGCCCCCACGAGGTGTTCCAGCAGGAGGAGCGCGGCGTGGCTGGTGAGGGGCTTGGCGGGGGCAAGCCAGGGAAGGAGGGCCTCCAGGACGACCTCGGGGTGCGCGTCCGCGAGCTCTGTCACGCGCTGCAGGGAGTCGGGGGTGCGGTGCTGCAGAGCCTCGGACAGGGTACGGGAGACGCGGGTTCGGAGTTTGAACTCACTCAGCGCGTGGTGAATGAGATTCATAATTGCCCAGAGCTAGCTACCGATGCATATAGATCTCCACACACACACACACATATATATATATATATATATATATGTGTGGTTTTCCTTCTTTCTCTATCTTTCTCTTTCTATAAAAATAAATATTTATATAAAAAGAGGTAAGATATCTTTAGCCCACTTTGTCGCTATGATCAGTGTATATACATATAGGTGTGGATACACTTTAGTTTGTGTTCTAAGGGATTAAGACTACTAGAAGGTTAACAATAGAGGCTGTACACCAAATACAGGCCTAATCGCTTAGCTACAAAAAAAAGGTCCTCCCCTTGAATGAGAATTAAAAAATAGGCCAAAATAATAATAATGGAGCGATAGAATTTTAAGTTACGATTTTGGATGATAACAAAAAGAAGTAATCCATCCAAGATGATAGATCACATCCACAAATACTCTCACAAAGGGTAAAATGATAATAGAGAATGTGTAATAAGCACCACATGTTTGTGGATCGTAATTAACGATCCCTCGGCTAAACGCAAAGTGTTCCACATCAATCTCAATAAACTAATAAACGTAAATACAGAACAGTGCATTCTGGCTAGAACATAGATAATCAACCTCGTTCTTTCATTAACATCAATTGATTTTCAGATGGGTCTAGCGCATCCCTTGGGCCCCCAAAGAAGAAGAGCTCTCAAATTCATAAGGCTTCGGCGAGGTTACGTAAGAAGGCAGCTGTACCGATCTAAGCATCTGTGAGGGGTTTGCTCGAGCTTTTTTTCCAGGATTGAGGTATTCCGTATATCGTCTTGAGAGGACATCGTAAAGCATCAAGAGCAAGGCGGTAGGAATCGTATTGAGCACCGGCTTCGAGGAAAAAAAACCGTCGTAGACCTTTGAAAGACCATATCTCCGATGCAGCTCGTAAATAAGAAAGCGATAACCTACACGCTTTAACTGCACTTGGGAGTTCATGGTGTGGAGTTGTTGGCGAAGACGCAAAAAAGGAAAGAATAAAACTTGCCCTACCAATGCGGCTAAATGGCAATAAAAGAAAAGCACCAGAGGGCCACGGTAAACCCCATCATGGCGAAGGGAATTATACAAACCGAACTGAACCCCGTACTGCATGGTGTACGCCAGTACCATGGTAGAAAAACCACGATAAAGACCGAATAACGCCGTCTTTTTTTTCGTTAAAGCCGTCCAGAGAACATCCATCGGCCCGCTGAAGGTTTTCGGCCCGTTGGGGGCTTCCGCCGTCGCGCGCAGAACATCGTACGGGTGAAAGGCCACCGCGTAGGCGATTCCCACACCCGCTCCAGCAGCAAACCCGTTGAGGGCACTTATGGGTTCCGTCTGAAATTGACTTCGTATGGCAATAAACGCCCCCAACTCAAAGGCCCCACTGAACGTCCGACGCCATAGCGGCGGGCCCGTCCACCAACGCGTCTGCAAAAGAGTTCGCACGACCTCTGCGGGTTTACCCGATACGCCGATTCGTCTATTTTCGCCGGGAACGTCGGAGAGAAAGTAAAATCGCTCGAGTTGGTGAATCGGGCGTTGGGCACAGGCCGCGGCGAAGGCGCTGGCGATGACCACCACAAAATGCTGCAGAGACGTTAAATCCGGCTCGGTATAGCCTTGCTGAATTTCGAGAGGTTCGGTGTATGGGGTGATGGTGTTATACCCTAAGCTATGCCGGTACCCGATGCTCGCACTTTGATTCATCCCAAAGTATCTAGCTATCGTTCTATATATAAATAAAGCAAGGATAGTGGACTTTTCCTTCCTTCACTACACTAAAAGTTTCCTGATTTCCGTTTTGTAATAGACGTATAAACATATACATATATGTATATATATATTATTTAATTGAGAAAGATAGAGTAGGGTAGAAGTATAGGGTTTGGATTAATGCAGTGCGAAAAAGATGAAAGTACACTAACGGAAGAGGAAAATATCTAAGGATGAAAAGTTTACAGGATCATGTCCCAACAAACCGCTTTTTTTTTCATATCGCAATTCTCACAATAATGGAAGCAAATATCGAAGGCAAATCTTTTTTTTACCATTAAAAAACAATCATTCAAAATGACATAACAAAAAACATGAGAGTCGGATGAAAATAATATATAACCTCGTTGATTATTCAACAACAAATATTATTCATCATCACACAATTAAAGAGTATCTATACGCAAAATGTTGTACCTTTTTCTTCTTAAAAAAAAAATGACACCTCACGGTTCCGGTAGGAATCGTCGACAGAGTGGGCAATTGTGGCTTTCATCCATCCATCGCTGTAGACAAGATTTGTGAAAGAAGTGATTGCACGGC